CAAGCAGACTTAGCAGGCGGGGGAACTTAGTATGGCATGCATTCCACGGCAAGACTCAGAAATCGGCTGTCTGTTTCAGTCCGTGTGATGACAGGTCATAACAGTGTGGTGTTGTGTGTGTGTGGGTGTGTGTGAGTGAGTTGAAGGACACTACGACCATGCAGGCGTGAGGTGGATATCCACGACTGGGCATGGATCCACTTTTGTACACCGGGCCATGGCTGTAGTGGTGAAGAAACTCAGCTCTTGAGGCTGAGGTTGCCGTTTCGGAGGGATGTCCGAGGCTGATAAAACTTCATAAAAGTGGATGTATCTGACCGCAATTAGGGCCAAAAATAAGTCAAAAACTTCACAAAAAGTCTTTAGTGTGAGTATGCCCTGGCAGTATCTAAACCATGGACATTTGACACGTGTCGCATTCTCATTGCAGGTTGGGAGTACGCTCTTCAAACTCGGAATAGTCACAAAAGAGCAGGGAGATGCTATTACTATGAAAAACAGCAAGTCGCCTGATGAGCTGGAGAAGGCCAAGGATCTGTATGATTATAGTGTCATGCTGCTTAACCGAGCAATCAGGTGTGTGAGTGAAGGATGTCGTGTCCCTCAAAATTTAATATTTCCCTTTATAAATACAAGCTAACGTATTTCCCCACAGCTCATCAAAGGAGTGACTCAAGTCCCGCAGGTAATGGAAAGTGGAAAAGAGAAATGTTTAAAAACCTTAACAGCACTATTCAATTTGAGTTATCCTGCTCTCTCTCTCTCTCTCTCTCTCTCTCTCTCTCTCTCTCTCTCTCTCTCTCTCTCTCTCTCTCTCTCTCTCCCCCCACACATGCATGTCGGCGAGGACACGTTTGCGTAGGTTTGGTCAGAGCGTATAGGGGCAGTGATGGAGGAAAGCACTTGGAAAGAAAGGTTAATCGCAAAACAAAAAAAAGGGAAATGGGTAAAGGTTGTGAAAGGCTGACACTGTAACAGGGTAGGCTGTATGTGTGAGGTGTACACGCGCAGGATTGCAGTAGGCAGATACTAGGCAAGAGGTGATTGACATGAAAACGGTCGACGATTGGCTAGCGCCCTCAGGGACTGCGCTGAACACCCTCCCCCCCCGCGCCAACCCCCCTCCCGGGGATTACCCTACTGTGTGTCTGAGTGCTGCTAGTAAGCCTCCCGTCCAGTACGGCAATCCACCACGGACGGGCAAAGGTTTGGGGGTGGGGTGCACGGAAACTGTCCCCCCTTGCTCAGGCGGCTATGCCACAAGGGTTAGGCTGACCCCCCTCCTTCTTTTCTCCCCCACTGCCTTTGTACTAACATGCTTGCCAATGATAAGTAACCGGACTGCTGCCACCCTTAAGAGAAGGGGCCTGTTTGTTCTTTAAAAAAGAAGAAAAAAAAGAAAAAGAGAGAGAAAGAAAGAAAGAATTTTGAAGAAAGCTATGAAAAACACTCTGCAGTGGCATCCAAAGCGAACACTCCTTTTGTGCCTTGTTTTTCCACTGCATCGAACTCTCTGTGATCCTGTTTTTTCCAAAATTAAATCATTTTAAAATTTACATTTTAAATGCATGATAACATCCAGCTTTTTTCTCTCCACACTTTGAGACTTTGAGCCGAATTATGCTATGTATATTACTATATGGCAAATGTTCATCAGCCCCTAAGGTCCTTTCTTTCTTTCTTTCTTTCTTTCTTTCGTTTCTTTTCTTTCTTTTTTTTTAAACCACCAGTACCTATCAGTTGTTGACGGCCGTGGCTCAGCCTACCGGTAACCCGATCCTTGCCGAGCCTCGAGCTACCGGTAGCTGCATAAAAAATAAAAGAAAAGAGAAAAAAAAAAGAAAAAAACATTCTTCTAGAAAAGGAAAAAAATAAAGGAAAAAAAAAAACGAAGAAAACCGTTGTACCCCGTTTTTCCCAGCTCGCCAGCGGGGAAGAGAGAGAGAGAGAGAGAGTCTCGGCGGCAGGTTTGGGGTGCTCCGCGCAGCCCGCCGAGACTGCAGGACTCTGTCTGGTAGTCTCGACTAACACATACAGCCGTTATGGCAGTGTGTTTATCCATGTTCAAGCGGAAGATTCACTCTCGTTTTGCACATTTCGAGAGAGTGCAGCGAGGCTCTCTCTCTCTCTCTCTCTCTCTCTCTCTCTCTCTCTCTCTCTCTCTCTCTCT